TTCCGGCTGGGATTCCTTGACCCGAGGCCGGCTGGAATTCTGGGGCTGATCCCGGCTGGAATTCCTGGATCCGATCCCGGCTGGAATTCTGGGGCTGATCCCGGCTGGAATTCTGGGGCTGATCCCGGCTGGAATTCCCGGATCTGATCCCGGCTGGAATTCCCGGATGATCCCGGCTGGAATTCTGGGGCTGATCCCGGCTGGAATTCCTGGATCCGATCCCGGCTGGAATTCTGAGGCTGATCCCAGCTGGAATTCCTGGATCCGATCCCAGCTGGAATTCCCAGGAATCAGGGGGCTGATCCAGGGGCTGATCCAGGATCGGGATCAATCCTGGAGCCGATCCCGGATCGGGATCGATCCCGGAGCCGATCCCGGAGCCGATCCCAGGTCTCGACGTCAGCTCCAGAATTCCCGGCATTCCCGGCATTCCCGGCATTCCGGGCTCAGCAGGAGCTGGCCTGCAGGTTGGCCTCGCTCAGGAGGGAGGCGAAGGCGGCGGATCCGAATTCCTCATCCGAGCTCAGCCGCTCGTCCTGGAGCGCCGAATCCACGGCACGGCGCCTGCGGGGAACATTCCGGCATTTTCCATGGAATTCCCGGCCTTTCCCGAGGAATTCCTGGCCTTTTCCTGGAATTCCCGGCCTTTCCCGAGGAATTCTGGGGTTTTCCATGGAATTCTGGGGTTTTTTCTATGGAATTCCCCACCTTTTCCATGGAATTCCCGGCCTTTCCCAAGGAATTCTGGGGTTTTCCATGGAATTCTGTGTTTTCTCTATGGAATTCCCCGCCTTTTCCATGGAATTCCCGGCTTTTCCCAAGGAATTCCCGGCCTTTTCCATGGAATTCTAGGGTTTTTTCTATGGAATTCCCAGCCGTTCCCAAGGAATTCTGGGACTTTTCCATGGAATTCTGGGGTTTTTTTTATGGAATTCCCAACCTTTTCCATGGAATTCTGGGTCTTTTCCACGGAATTCTGGGGTTTTCCCATGGAATTCTGGGACTTTTCCATGGAATTCTGGGTTTTTCCCATGGAATTCTGGGTCTTTCCCATGGAATTCTGGGTCTTTCCCATGGAATTCTGGGTCTTTGCCATGGAATTCTGGGACTTTTCCATGGAATTCTGGGTTTTTCCCATGGAATTCTGGGTGTTTCCCATGGAATTCTGGGACTTTTCCATGGAATTCTGGGTGTTTCCCATGGAATTCTGGGTGTTTCCCATGGAATTCTGGGTTTTTCCCATGGAATTCTGGGTTTTTCCCATGGAATTCTGGGGTTTTCCCATGGAATTCTGGGGTTTTCCCATGGAATTCTGGGGTTTTCCCATGGAATTCTGGGGTTTTCCCATGGAATTCTATTTTTTTTTTCCCATGGAATTCTGGGGTTTTTTTTCCATGGAATTCCCAGCCTTTTCCGTGGATTTTGGGGATATTTCCAATGGATTCTGATTTTTTTTATGGATTTGGTGTCTTTTCCACGGATTTAGGAACTTTCCCATTGGATTTAGGGGCCTTTCCCATAAATTCCAAACCTTCTCCATGAATTTCAGGCTTTTCCAGGCGGGAATTTCCACGGATTTTCGTGGGTTTTTTTTTGGATGAATTTCAAATCTTTTCCCACGGATTCCAGAATTCCATGGATTTGGGAAGGGTTTGGATTACCAGGCCTCCTTTTCCATGGATTTCAGGCGCCTCTGGAGCTGCTCGTTCAGCTCCTGCTGCTCCTCCAGATCCCGCTGGGATTTTTTCCGGGCGTTTTCCAAGCGTTCGATTTCCTCCTCGGATTCGTCCACCTGGCGCTTCAGGGCCTTCACCCGCAGGCTCAGCTGGGAATTCCGGGAATTCGGGATTTTGGGAAGGGCTCAGGAGAATCCCAGGTGGGCGGGAATGGGAGGGATTTTTAAGGAATTTTTTAAGGAATTTTAAATGGAATTTTATTGAATTTTTATGGGATTTTTAAGGGATTTTTAAGGGAATTTTAAAGGGATTTTTTTAAGGGATTTTAAAGGGAATTTTATGGAATTTTTATGGGATTTTTAAGGGATTTTAAAGGGAATTTTAGGGAATTTTTACAGAATTTTTATGGAATTTTAAAGGGATTTTTAAAGGGATTTTAAAAGGGATTTTAAAGGGAATTTTATGGAATTTTTATGGGATTTTTATGGAATTTTTAAGGGATTTTTAAGGGAATTTTAAAGGGAATTTTAAAGGGATTTTTAAAGGGAATTTAAAATGGAATTTTATGGAATTTTTAAGGGATTTTTAAGGGAATTTTAAAGGGAATTTTAAAGGAATATTAAACTAATTTTAACGGGATGTTTTAGGGATTTTTAAGGAATTTTTAAAGAAATTTTAAAGGAATTTTATGGAATTTTTAAGGGAATTTTAAAGGGAATTTTAAAGGAATATTAAACTAATTTTAACGGGATGTTTTAGGGATTTTTAAGGAATTTTTAAAGAAATTTTAAAGGAAATTTTTAAGGAATTTTATGGAATTTTTAAGGGATTTTTAAGGGAATTTTAAAGGGAATTTTAAAGGAATATTAAACTAATTTTAACGGGATGTTTTAGGGATTTTTAAGGAATTTTTAAAGAAATTTTAAAGGAAATTTTTAAGGAATTTTATGGAATTTTTAAGGGATTTTTAAGGGAATTTTAAAGGGAATTTTAAAGGAATATTAAACTAATTTTAACGGGATGTTTTAGGGATTTTTAAGGAATTTTTAAAGAAATTTTAAAGGAAATTTTTAAGGAATTTTATGGAATTTTTAAGGGATTTTTAAGGGAATTTTAAAGGGAATTTTAAAGGAATATTAAACTAATTTTAACGGGATGTTTTAGGGATTTTTATGGAAATTTTTAAGGAATTTTTTTAGGAATTTTAAAGGGAATTTTACAGATTTTTAAAGGAATTTTAAAGGGAATTTTAAAGGGAATTTTACGGAATTTTAACAGTAATTTTATGGAATTTTAAAGGGATTTTAAAAGGGATTTTTAAAGGAATTTTAAAGGGAATTTTATGGAATTTTTAAGGGAATTTTAAAGGGAATTTAAAATGGAATTTTATGGAATTTTTAAGGGAATCTTAAAGGGAATTTTAAAGGGATTTTTATAGGGATTTTAAAGGGAATTTTATGGAATTTTTATGGGATTTTTAAGGGATTTTTTAAGTGATTTTTAAGGGATTTTTAAAGGGATTTTTAAAGGAATTTTAAAGGGAATTTTATGGAATTTTTATGGGAATTTTAAAGGGACTTTAAAGGGAATTTTAAAAATATTTTTCCCCTTATTCCCCTTCCCAACCCATCCCGGAATTCCCAGTCCCACCTTGACCAGAATTTTCCGGGACCAACCCTTCCCAATCCACGATTTTCCCGGAATTCCGGCCCCACCTGATCCCTCTGGCTGTCGCTGCTGCGCCGTTCCTCGTCCAACTGCAGCGACAATTCCTTCATCCTCCGCTCCAGCTTCCGGTTGGATGAGAGCAGGACGCTCTTCTCCCTGTGGAAAAGCAAATTCCAGGGATTTACCCCCCTCTGGAATCTGATGGAATTTTCCGGATTTTTTTTATGGATTTTTTACGGAATTTTTGGGGGATTTTTATGGATTTTTAAGTGATTTTTTTAGGAATTTTTGGGGGGATTTTTATGTGGATTTTTTGTGGATTTATTAGGAGTTTTTATGGAATTTTTATGGATTTTTTGTGGATTTTTTAGGAACTTTTTGGGAATTTTTATGGATTTTTTGTGGATTTTTTAGGAATTTTTACAGAATTTTTATGGATTTTTTTGTGGATTTTTATGGAATTTTTATGGATTTTTTATGGATTTTTAACTGATTTTTAAGGAATTTTTACGGAATTTTTATGTGGATTTTTGGTGGATTTTTTAGGAATTTTTATGGATTTTTTTGTGGATTTTTTAGGAATTTTTACAGAATTTTTATGGATTTTTAACTGATTTTTTAAGGATTTTTTGTAGATTTTTAACTGATTTTTTAGGAATTTTTACGGAATTTTTATGTGGATTTTTTGTGGATTTTTACAGAATTTTTATGGATTTTTTTTGGGAATTTTTATGGAATTTTTGTGGATTTTTAACTGATTTTTTTGGAATTTTTATGGATTTTTAACTGATTTTTTAGGAATTTTTTTGGAATTTTTATGGATTTTTTGTGGATTTTTATGGAATTTTTATGGATTTTTTATGGATTTTTAACTGATCTTTAAGGGATTTTCACGGAATTTTTATGTGGATTTTTTGTGGATTTTTACAGAATTTTTATGGATTTTTTTTGGGAATTTTTATGGAATTTTTGTGGATTTTTAACTGATTTTTTTGGAATTTTTAAGGATTTTTAACTGATTTTTTAGGAATTTTTACGGAATTTTTATGTGGATTTTTTGTGGATTTTTACAGAATTTTTATGGATTTTTTTTGGGAATTTTTATGGAATTTTTGTGGATTTTTAACTGATTTTTTTGGAATTTTTATGGATTTTTAACTGATTTTTTAGGAATTTTTTTGGAATTTTTATGGATTTTTTGTGGATTTTTATGGAGTTTTTATGGATTTTTTATGGATTTTTAACTGATCTTTAAGGAATTTTCACGGAATTTTTATGTGGATTTTTTGTGGATTTTTTAGGAATTTTTATGGATTTTTTGTGGATTTTTTAGGAATTTTTACAAAATTTTTATGGATTTTAAACTGATTTTTTAAGGATTTTTTGTAGATTTCTAACTGATTTTTTAGAAATTTTTACGGAATTTTTATGTGGAGTTTTTGTGGATTTTTTCGGAATTTTTACAGAATTTTTATGGATTTTTTTGTGGATTTTTATGGATTTTTTAATGGATTTTTTATGGATTTTTAACTGATTTTTTGGGGGAATTTTATGGATTTTTTATGGATTTTGAACTGATTTTTTAGGAATTTTTACGGAAATTTTCCCAAGTTTTTACAGATTTTTTATGGATTTTTTGGGATTTTTTTTAAGGATTTTTATGAACTTTTACGGATTTTTCCCAAATTTGTATGGATTTTTTAATGGAATTTTTTATGGATTTTTACAGATTTTTCCCCAAAATTTTATGGATTTTTAATGGATTTTTCCCAAATTTTTATGGATTTTTAATGGATTTTTTTAATGGATTTTTACAGATTTTTCCCAAAATTTTTATGGATTTTTAATGGATTTTCCCCAAAATTTTATGGATTTTTAATGGATTTTTCCCAAATTTTTATGGATTTTTAATGGATTTTTTTAATGGATTTTTACAGATTTTTCCCAAAATTTTTATGGATTTTTAATGGATTTTCCCCAAAATTTTATGGATTTTTAATGGATTTTTCCCAAATTTTTATGGATTTTTAATGGATTTTTTGTAATGGATTTTTACGGATTTTCCCCAAATTTTTAACGGATTTTCCCCAAATTTTTATGGATTTTTAATGGATTTTTTGTAATGGATTTTTACGGATTTTCCCCAAATTTTTAACGGATTTTCCCCAAATTTTTATGGATTTTTAATGGAATTTTTTAATGGATTTTTACGGATTTTTCCCAAATTTTTACGGATTTTTACGGATTTTTTACGGATTTTTTACAGATTTTCGGGATTTCTCCAATTCCAAGGAATCCCTTCCCGGTTTTCCTTGGGAATTCCGGGATAAATTGGGGATTTGGGAGCGGGTACCTCTCCTCAGCCTGGAGCCGATCCCGGAGCTCTTCCAGCTGCGATTCCAGCTGGGAATTCCGAGCATTCCCGGGTTTCTGCTGCCCCTCGGAAGCCGCCAGCCGGTTCTTCAGCTCCTTATTCTGGGAAAGAATTCCCAAAAAATCCTCGGCATTCCGGGGAATTTTCCTGGTTTTTATCCCGGTTTCCCCGTGGGGAGGAATTCCGGGAATTCTTTGTGTGATTCCAGGGGGGGGAAAAATGGGAATTCTGGGGTTTGTGAAGGGAAAATGGGAATTGTGCAGGGAAAATGGGAATTGTGAAGGGAAAATGGGAATTGTGAAGGGAAAAGTGGGAATTGTGAAGGGAAAATGGGAATTGTGCAGGGAAAATGGGAATTGTGAAGGGAAAATGGGAATTGTGAAGGGAAAATGGGAATTGTGAAGGGAAAATGGGAATTGTGCAGGGAAAATGGGAATTGTGAAGGGAAAATGGGAATTGTGAAGGGAAAATGGGAATTGTGAAGGGAAAATGGGAATTGTGAAGGGAAAATGGGAATTGTGAAGGGAAAATGGGAATTGTGAAGGGAAAATGGGAATTGTGAAGGGAAAATGGGAATTGTGAAGGGAAAATGGGAATTGTGAAGGGAAAATGGGAATTGTGAAGGGAAAATGGGAATTGTGAAGGGAAAATGGGAATTGTGAAGGGAAAATGGGAATTGTGAAGGGAAAATGGGAATTGTGAAGGGAAAATGGGAATTGTGAAGGGAAAAGGGGGATTGTGAAGGGAAAATGGGAATTGTGAAGGGAAAATGGGAATTGTGAAGGGAAAATGGGAATTGTGAAGGGAAAATGGGAATTGTGAAGGGAAAATGGGAATTGTGAAGGGAAAATGGGAATTGTGAAGGGAAAATGGGAATTGTGAAGGGAAAATGGGAATTGTGAAGGGAAAATGGGAATTGTGAAGGGAAAATGGGAATTGTGAAGGGAAAATGGGAATTGTGAAGGGAAAATGGGAATTGTGCAGGAAAAATGGGAATTGTGAAGGGAAAATGGGAATTGTGAAGGAAAAATGGGAATTGTGCAGGGAAAACCCTGGGAGAGCGCCGAGAACCCCAAAAATTTGGATTGGGAATAAAAGCAAAGCGGGAAAAGTGGGAAAACCCCCGAAAAAAAACGGGAAAAAAAGCAGGAAAACCCCTTGGAATCACGAGCCCATTCCCGAGGATTCTTTTCCCAGAATTCCTCAGAAATCTGGGATTTTCCCGGGATTTTTTTCCCGGGATTTTCCGCACCTGGCGCTCCAGGGAGGATTTGTCACATTCCAGGTCCTGGCGGCTCGAACGCTCCTGGAGCAGCTCAGCCCGGAGCTGCTCGATCTGGGAATAAAAACATGGAAAATCCGGGAATTCCCAGCCTTTTCCAGGGGTTTCCACGGATTTTCTGGGATTTTCCATGGATTTTCTGGGATTTTCCATGGATTTCCATGGATTTTTCCATGATTTTCCATGGATTTTCCATGGGTTTTCTGCTGATTTCCATGGATTTCCATGATTTTCCATGGATTTTCCACAGATTTCCATGGATTTTCCATGGATTTTGCATGGGTTTTCCATGGATTTTCCACGGATTTCCATGGATTTTCTGGGATTTTCCATGGTTTTCCATGGATTTTCCATGGATTTTCTATGGATTTTCTATTGATTTCCATGGATTTTCTATGGATTTTCCATTGATTTCCATGGATTTTCTGGAATTTTCCATGGACTTTAAATGGATTTTCAATGGATTTTCCATTGATTTACATGGATTTTCTGGAATTTTCCATGGATTTCCATGGATTTTCATCGACTTTTCCATGATTTTCCATGGATTTCCATGGATTTTCATTGATTTTCCATGAATTTTCCATGGGTTTTCTGCTGATTTCCATGGATTTTCCATGGATTTCCATGGATTTTCCATGGTTTCCATGGAATTTCTGGAATTTTCCATGGATTTTCCATGGTTTCCATGGATTTTCCATGGATTTCAGGTCCGGGATTTTTCAGGGATTCTCCGGGAATTTTGGGAAATCCATCCCAGGGATTATTCCCGCATGGAAAAACAGGGAAAAAATTGGAGAAAATTCCCATTTTACACCTTGGAATTTTATGGATTAAAAAAAAAGCGGGAATGACGTTCCGGAAAAACCCAGAATCCGTCGGGATTCGATCCCGAAATTCCCGCCCAAACCCCCAAAAATTCCGGAATTTCTTCGGGAATTTTCTCCCTTTTTTCCCCCCAACCAAATTCCCGCCCAAACCCCCAAAAATTCCGGAATTTCTTCGGGAATTTTCTCCCTTTTTTCCCCCCAACCGCTTCCAATCCCCATTCCCAGCTGGAATTTTGGGATCGATCCTTAAAGGGATTGGAATTCTGAGAGGATCAGATGAGAATTCCTGGAATTCCCGGGAAAAATTCCCGGAAAAACTCCCGGAATTCCGGGATTTTTTTACCTGATCCCGGCTCCTGGCCACCCTCTCGCTCAGCAGCTCCACCGAGCTCCGCTCCTCGTCCAGCTCCAATTCCAAACGTTTGGATTTTTCCTGTCGGGAATTCGGGATTGGGAGAAGAAAAAACCTCGGGAAAGGGAATTCCCAGGGGAAAAATTCCCGGAATTCCGGTGGGAAAAGGGGTTTGATGGGGGAAAAATCCGGGAAGGATCGTGGGAATTTGGTGGGGGGGAAGTTGGGTGGGGATGGGGGGAAAAAAGCTGGAAAAATTCCTTGGAATGGGGGGAAAAGTGGGAAAAATCCTTTGGAATGGGGGAAAAACCCTTTGGAATGGGGGAAAAACCCTTTGGAATGGGGGAAAAACCCTTTGGAATGGGGGAAAAACCCTTTGGAATGGGGGAAAAACCCTTTGGAATGGGGGAAAAACCCTTTGGAATGGGGGAAAAACCCTTTGGAATGGGGGAAAAACCCTTTGGAATGGGGGAAAAACCCTTTGGAATGGGGGAAAAACCCTTTGGAATGGGGGAAAAACCCTTTGGAATGGGGGAAAAACCCTTTGGAATGGGGGAAAAACCCTTTGGAATGGGGGAAAAACCCTTTGGAATGGGGGAAAAACCCTTTGGAATGGGGGAAAAACCCTTTGGAATGGGGGAAAAACCCTTTGGAATGGGGGAAAAACCCTTTGGAATGGGGGAAAAACCCTTTGGAATGGGGGAAAAACCCTTTGGAATGGGGGAAAAACCCTTTGGAATGGGGGAAAAACCCTTTGGAATGGGGGAAAAACCCTTTGGAATGGGGGAAAAACCCTTTGGAATGGGGGGAAAATTGGGAATAATCCTCTGGAATGGGGAAAAAACCCTTTGGAATGGGGGAAAAAGTGGGAAAAAATCCTCTGGAATGGGGGAAAAACCCTTTGGAATGGGGGAAAAAGTGGGAAAAAATCCTCTGGAATGGGGGAAAAAGTGGGAAAAACCCTTTGGAATGGGGAAAAAAATCTTTGGGAATGGGGGAAAAATCCTTTCGAATGGGGGAAAAACCCTTTGGAATGGGGGGAAAATTGGGAATAATCCTCTGGAATGGGGAAAAAACCCTTTGGAATGGGGGAAAAAGTGGGAAAAAATCCTCTGGAATGGGGGAAAAACTCCTCTGGAATGGGGAAAAAACCTTTGGAATGGGGAAAAAACCCTTTGGAATGGGGAAAAAATTGGGAAAAAACCTTTGGAATGGGGGAAAAAGTGGGAAAAACCCTTTGGAATGGGGGAAAAATCCTCTGGAATGGGGGAAAAAGTGGGAAAAACCCTTTGGAATGGGGTAAAAATCCTTTGGAATGGGGGAAAAGTGGGGAAAACCCTTTGGAATGGGGGAAAAAACCCTTTGGAATGGGGGAAAAACCCTTTGGAATGGGGGAAAAATTGGGAAAAAATCCTCAAAATCCTCTGGAATGGGGGAAAAAGTGGGAAAAAACCTTTGGAATGGGGGAAAAAGTGGGAAAAATCCTTTGGAATGGGGGAAAAAGTGGGAAAAACCCTCTGGAATGGGGGAAAAATTGGGAAAAAATCCTCTGGAATGGGGGAAAAAGTGGGAAACCTCAAACCCTAAAAAACTTTGGGAATTCGATCCCATCCCGGTTTTTCCAGCTCTGGGAATTCCCTCCAAGTCCATCCCCAGCCCTGGAAAAGGGAATTTTTTGGGAATTTTTTGGGAATTCTTTTAAATTTCCCAACAATCGGGAAGAATTCTTTTTGATGGAATTTTTCCCATTTTTTTTCTTTTTTTTTTTTTAATTTTCCTGGAATTTTTAGCCGGGAATTCTTTTAAATTTCCCAACAATCGGGAAGAATTCTTTTTGATGGAATTTTTCCCATTTTTTTTCTTTTTTTTTTTTTAATTTTCCTGGAATTTTTAGCCGGGAATTCTTTTAAATTTCCCAACAATCGGGAAGAATTCTTTTTGATGGAATTTTTCCCATTTTTTTTCTTTTTTTTTTTTTAATTTTCCTGGAATTTTTAGCCGGGAATTCTTTTAAATTTCCCAACAATCGGGAAGAATTCTTTTTGATGGAATTTTTCCCATTTTTTTTCTTTTTTTTTTTTTAAATTTTTTGGGAATTCTTTGTGAATTTCCCTGGAATGTTTTTTTTGGAATTTTTTTTTTTTTTAATTTTCCTGGAATTTTTAGCCGGGAATTCTTTTAAATTTCCCAACAATCGGGAAGAATTCTTTTTGATGGAATTTTTCCCATTTTTTTTTTTTTTTTTTTTTTAAATTTTTTGGGAATTCTTTTAAAAAAACTCTCCGTGGAATTTTCCTGGAATTTTTTTCCCGGGGAATTCCCACCTCCAACGCTTTGGAATTCCGGGCTCGCTCCTCCTGGGATCGCTTCCGATTTTCCAGCTCCTCCTCCAGCTCCTGGAACCTCTGGAGCAGCAGCTCCTTATCCAGCAGGATCCGATCCCGCTCTTCCCGATTTTCCTGGATCGTCTCCTTCAACCGCGAAACCTGACCGGGAAAAAAATCCCGAATTCCCAAAAAAAAAAAAAAAATCCCCACGGAATTCCCGGAAAATCCCGCTCTGATTCCCAACAAACCTCATCCTGCAGCTTCCCGAGGTTTTCTTGGAATTTTTCCGCCTCAGCCTCGCGCTCTTGGGCGATTTTTTGGGAATCCGTGAGTTCCCGCCGGGATTTTTCCTGGAATTCTTCCAGTTGGGATCGGAGCGAGGCCAGGGAATTCTGGGATTCCTCCGTCATCTGCTCCAGCTGCCGGGGGAAAAACGGGAATTTTGGGGTGGGATTGTCCCAGAATTGGGATTTGGGGGTTGGGATGGGAGTTTTGGGGTGAGGGAATCCCAGAATTCCATTAAAAAATCCCAGAATTCCACGAAAAAATCCCAGAATTCCACGAAAAAATCCCAGAATTCCATAAAAATCCCAGAATTCCACAAAACCTCCCAGAATTCCATGAAAAATCCCAGAATTCCATGAAAAATCCCAGAATTCCACGAAAAATCCCAGAATTCCACGAAAAAATCCCAGAATTCCATGGAAAAATCCCAGAATTCCACAAAACCTCCCAGAATTCCATGAAAAATCCCAGAATTCCATGAAAAATCCCAGAATTCCACGAAAAAATCCCAGACTTCCATAAAACCCCCAGAATTCCATGAAAAATCCCAGAATTCCATGGAAAAAATCCCAGAATTCCATAAAAAAATCCCATAATTCCACAAAATTCCCCCCAAATCCCCCAAAATTCCACCAAAAAAACCCCTAAAAATCTACAAAAACCCCCCAGAATTCCATAAAAACCCCCCAGAATTCCATAAAACCCCCCAGAATTCCATAAAATCCCAAGAATTCCATAAAAACCCCCAAAATTCCACAAAAAACCCCCCAGATTTCCATAAAAAATCCCTGGAATTCCATAAAATCCCAAGAATTCCATAAAAACCCCCAAAATTTCATAAAACCCCCCCCAGAATTCCATTAAAAAACCCCCAAAATTCCATAAAAACCCCCAAAATTCCATAAAAACACCCCCAAAATTCCATAAAAACCCCCAAAATTCCATAAAAACACCCCCAGAATTCCATAAAAAAACCCCAAAATTCCATAAAAACACCCCCAGAAT